TATAATTTTGTATTTTTAAATTTTTGTGTTCCATGCTCATGCAAAGAGCAATTTGAAAATGTGTTCTGTCTCTAGATAATGTTCCATCTGTCATATTACCTGAAGAAAACAGTTATATATTGTCAAACTTGCTGGTACTCTTTAATTAAACATATATACCAGTGATACAAATAGACAGTTTTTATATTTCCGTTTATTTTTAGTAAGTGGCGTGTTTTTATCTTATTATAGTGTGCAAATTTACACTATCCTGAACTGTCATATGCCCATTAGTCTAATAATTTTTAATGAACCATTTTTCACTTGTCTGATTGCAGAATTGAGAGTATGCTGAAGACAAAATTAACATTTAAAGATTTTTATTAATTAAAACATTTGAGATTATTTCTTTCACTAAAATGTTCAAATGGCATTAAAAATTTGAATACACATTGAATAAAAGTTAAACTATTATGATAACATGTATGATTAAATATGATAATTTTTAGGGCTATGATAAACAGCTTTTTATAATCTGGCAGTGCTGGTTGTGCTACTTGTTGCATAAACACTATAGGTATCATTTGCAACAAGAGAAAGCCATTATAATTTGTTTTTCTCTTTTCTGTGATCTGGCAAAAGTCACTAATCTGGCACATTACAGGACCTGATGATGCCAGATTATTAATGGTTAATCTGTATTTGATTACCATGGGTAAGAAAAGATCATATAATTATTTATCACTTAAAATTTTGATTATTTTGACTCTTTCATGCTAGCATTAACCAGGCAATTAAAATATAGCAAAATTGTTGATGGTATATCTCTAAATACCAAAAATTAATCTGAATAAAACTTTATGCAAATTGTTGTATTGGAGTACAGTAGAGTGTCGTTTATCCGAATCAATTGGGGACTGGGGTTGTTCGGATAACTTATTTTTCGGATAACCGATTATGTATGAAAAAATATATTAACCTATCCCGTATTGAAATTTTTCTCCGTTGCGTTGCTTTGCATTGAATTTTCGTCGATGTTAAGCCTAATGTAAACTTTTTAAAATAATAATTGTGGCTATTGTGTCGTTAAAAATGATTTCTTTATGTTTTACAAACAAAATAAATACATTGAAAAATATAAAAACAAATAAAAATTATACTTTAGGCTGACTGGAATTCTTTCGGATAAACAACACTCTACTGTATTATTATTTCGAATAAACAAATTTTATTTCTATATAGTGAAATATATCAAACTTCAAATCAAGGAGCCCTTTTTCTTTTCATTTGAAACATTTTGTGAATTTACCGTATCATCATCAGTGATCTCAAACATTTTAATGCAATAATAGAGTTTTAAACATTTCTAAATTCTAGAAATACTGTATTTAATTTGTTTTTATTTTTTCAACATTCATTTTTAATTTGAATGTTCAGTTTCAGATAGGTTCAATCTGCTTTGAGCTTTCCATTCCTAAAAAGTCAATTTACTGTTTTTAATAGGAATTGAAAATGCAAAGTTGATTGACCCTATCTAAAAGTCTACTAAACATTTAACAGTTTTAGAATTCAGTTTTTATTACCACTTTCCATACTTTTGACAATTCTTTTGCATCATTTTTATTTACTATTCCATGATCCCAACCTCCTACATAAATATAAATCTGTTCTTGTATTATTGTTTGTCTAAAAAAAACCAAATCATCAAAGGTAAATTTTTGTAACCAAATGATCTGGAAATTGTTTATTTGATGTAAAATTACCAAATCTGGCAACTTAATAAAATAAAAAAATTAAAATAAAACATGCACAGATAGTTAAATTACACCAAATTGTGTCTGTGAAATGGCAAAAATTTCATTTGCAATGATATATATTATTATGGATATTCATCTCTCACTGAAGGCTAGTGTGGCACTGCATGGGGGCATGTGTGAATACTTCAGCCAAATTCAAAGAAACAATATTATTAATCACTGACACTGTTGAAAGTTTGTGGAACTGATTGGACATATCACTTATTTATACAAATTAAAATTTAGATTGAACTTTTCTGTTAAATGTTGCTGTGAAGTCCCATTGTACTGGTACATGCTTTATACTCTTTCCAGTTTTTGAATGTTGATGAGTCCATTTGACTTTTGCAATGTTTCTCAGATGTGATTTTCATTACTCCATAGCAACTTGAGACTTTTTGATATATCTTTCATAGCTAAGATTGTGCCTACTATAGACCTGTTCAAGCCATACTGCCTAGCAACATCAGACATCTTGTGCCCACTTTCTACCTTGGCTATTATCTCTTACTTGGTTTCTATAGTGAGCACAGTTCTTGACACTCCTCTTTTTAGCTCCACAATATTATCAGTTTCTTTTTTAAATAAAAAATTCAGCACTTACAAGAATTCAGAGAACAGAAATCAACTAGCCCACAAAAATTATTTAAATGCAAGGCTGGATGAAATTCAAAATTTGGTAATAAAATGTTAACGAATATCCGATGGGACAGTTAAACTTTCACCTTTCATAAATAAATCCCAACACAAAACTTAACAAATGCTCATCCAACAGTCTCGCAAAGACTATATAAAATCATTTGTCAGTAAGATAAACAAAAAGCTGGAATTACAAGGGAGAGTTTTAAAATTCAGAGGAATACTATCTGATCAGTATCAGGTTAAGCATTGAGGTTGGCATCTCCTGCTCTCTGAAAGGTTTTGAATTGTTACCTGAAGACAAATGAAAATCAGTCGGTATTGTTATTTTTTGTCACTTTTTTAATGTTTGTTTAGTAAAGTATTCGTTGTCTGATCATAAAAATCTTTCGTGAAAGTGTTTGTTATCCAATTTGTTCACTATCTGAACTGTTTGTTAACTGTATACCCACTGTATACATATCTCTGCTTTTCTACTTTCAAAGAAAATAAGCAATATTTTTTAATTAAAATAAATTTATAAATAATAATGTATTTAAAATGATCCATTTTTACTTTCCTGGATGTTATATATAACAGAGGAAAAATATGGTGATTAGTCAAAAAATAACATCTTTAAGATTTTTACATCTTTGGACTTGGGACTTTGAAACATTGAGAAATGCAGAGTTGGGAGTATTTTTTTATGTGTGTTGATATTTGTGTGTAAGGGAGCACAATTTTGTTCACCCACCTTGAAGCTTAGTAACTCTGTCTTTTGTCAAAAATTTCTGTAACTTTTCAGAGTTTGTGTATTAGGGGTTTAATGCTATTAAACTTTGGTGGTTAAAGATCAAGTTGATAGGAGGATAGATATGTCATATCTCAAATGGGATCGGACTTAATGAAGATTTTACTTGTTACTAGCATTTGCAATTTTTTATAAACTCATCTCTATGCTCAAAATAAGGCTTTTTGCCAATTTATAATAATTTATAATTAATATAATTTTTAAATAAAATTTCATAACAGATGGTGCCAGATAATTTTAATTCTTGTTGAGAAAGTTATGCAACTTGTTGCTAGTTTTTATTTTTTTATTGTTTTGTTTGATATGTTTTTTTTTGTAAAAATTTATTTTTGAAGTTAAAATTTTCTTATATTAAACTGACAGTGATTGTATTGTAGTTAATCATTGTACAATAATTTAATTCTGTAATGGATATTATAAACTTTGCTATAACGTGTTTCTGAATTAACATTTAAGTACAGTAATTCATCAAATAAATATAATCTGATAACAAATATTGTTATAAAGATTTTTCTTTTGGAAGATATAATATATCTGTAATAATAAAACTTTCATCAATAAAAATAAACATCAGCAATTTCATGGTCAAACAACTAGAAAATTAGTGATACATTAAGGGTCAAAAGGGTTAAAGAAAATTAAGTAATGTTAAATCAGTTAATATTTCATAATGTTATTAAATTATTAAAACTCTTTTTTCATATTTAGAAAATATGAAGAGAGAGAAATATATAAATAATTCAAGAAAATTGTTATAAATACAATAATTTTATCAGTAATAAATTTTCTTGTTAATGACAATTATTTTATTTTGGTATTAGTGAATGGAAGTAACTGAAAAAATTATTCTTAGAATAACAAATGCAATTTTGCATCTCACTCAATTTTTTATGAATCTTTCTCTTTGAATGGGGACATAAATTTACAGTATTTTATAAAAATATGGTAATTTTACAACTATCTTATACTACTATTAATAATAGATTTTTTATTGCATAGAAAGGAGTTGTCTTGTCTAGTTCATTTAATGAGAGAGCTTCTTATACAATAGATAAGATAAATCTATCAAATTTAAATTTATTGATAAGTTTGTTAATAAAATATCCTCTAGATTTAAATCTTTGATTAAATGAAATATTATTCTGGAGTTTGAAATTTATTATCCTATTTAAGTGGATAGTATTTTTGATTTATATTAATTACTATTGAATTTGTTTTAAATAATTTACTGTAAATGAAATTGAAATTTATTACCATGCCATTTGCTCAGAGAGAACTTACTAACATTTTTAATTATATAATACAGTTATTTATTGTAATCACTTTCTTCACCCATTCTTTAGATAACAGCAGTATTAATTTTTTTTTACTTCTATTTTATCAATGTTATAAAATGAATGAATAGCATTTCTGTATTTCTATACTTATCTAACAAACAAAGTTTGATATCAGATTAACGTTCATACTCAAGTGAGATTTTATAATCAGAGTTAGGAGTTAACTAGTTACTATTCATTTTACTATAATTACACAAATGATATATTGATTAAATTCCAATTCTGACAATTGAACTCGGTTATGAATATAAATGGTTCTCTAAGATATTGTAGGCACGACTTTAATAATTATAAACAAATAGATTTTATAAAATTTTTATTGTAATTCATGAAGAAAATTTGCATGAATGTTTGATGAGCAAGATTTTAAAGTTAAAAATTTACAAATTACTATAAAAGACAATAAAAAAATTTATTTCAAAGTGTTATATAGTTTATACCAAAACTTTTTTATTACAGCTGATATTATTTCTTGTGTGGAATTTAATCATGATGGAGACCTCTTAGCTACAGGTGACAAAGGTGGAAGAGTAGTAATATTTCAAAGAGATCCAATTGTAAGTCTATTACAAACAATTTGAGATAATGCACCCATATCAAATAGTTTAAGATACTGACATTATTAAGAGAAAACACTAAGTAGAAGAAACAAATTCATATATTTTAAGTAATAATTTTATATCATATGAAAGATTTTTATGAAAATATCTTGTTATAAAGTTAATGGAATAGTTGAGTAATAATGTTGAAATTATTCAATGAATGAGGGGGAAAAAATGAATGAAAATCATTCCATTCATATTAGATGTTATGTAATATGAAAGAAAAGTGCAATGACTGTAGCATTTTAAATACAGCAAACATTGATGATAAAGGGAATTTAAAATTGTTATTTTATTAAAATGTTGTATATATAAATGGTGACCCATTTAATAATACTTGAATATTCTGAGAAATTTACATCCTCTGAAAAAATGTTAAGACAAAATCTACTGTCATGTGGACCACAAGATGGCACTGTTGGTTTCTTCTTACATAGTGCTATTAAGTCATCAGTGAAAATGAGATCAACTGGTTTTTCTTAAATGGAACTCCTATTTTTTTCATATTATGATTCTACATCAAAAGCAAAAACTTTTATCTAAAACATTTTTTTTTTCAAAAGCTACACTTATCAGAAGTTAAGTATTTGAGGTTTTACTCAGTAGCCACTCTGTGTGCATGTGAATCTGTGGGTAGCTGTGAAATTCATTAAAGAAAAGGATGAAAAGTGCTTTAAAAAATTATTAGGAAGTTATTATTTGGTGGAATCATTCTTTTCTTCAATAATGACTGATGCGAAACTTGTGCCACAATGTGTTAAGGCTATCAAGCTTGTAATAAAGAGATGGTCTTGATTCCACCAAATAATAATAGTTTCCTAATGATTTAAAGGACTCTTTCTTTTTCAATGAAATGCATGCATATCTAAGGATTCATTTATGTATGGTGTGATGGCTACATAAAATTTCAAATGATCTTAACTTTTGATAAGTGCATTTTTCAAAGAAAAAAAAACAATTTTAGATAAGTTTGTTTTTAATGTAGAATCATAATACAGTAATACCTCGACTTACTCTACCCTGACTTACCCCGATCTCGTCGATTTGTCTTTTGTTTGAATGCCACGCAACTCTTGTTACTCATTCCCCCACACTATTATTCAGCTTACATGTTTGGACGTGTCGCGCAGAATCGATGCATAGCTACAATTTATTTTGTGTTATTTATTTCTGTGTTTGTTATATCTATGGAGACTTGAGAGACTCTATGTGGTGATTTCTTGTAACTGTGAATGAATCAAAAGACGAGATAAGATTAACGAGAGCATTTATTAACTTACATACATCCGACTTGGATTTTACACAAATTGCAAAATTATACCTCGACTTACGCGGTTATCGCTCAGTCCCACGTAACGTGTACGTTCGGGGTATTACTGTATGCAACAAAAAATGAAGGTTTCCATTTAAGAAAATGTAGTTGGTTCCAATTTGACCAATACAAATTCGAAATGTTAATATATAATAATTAAATATCTAAACAATATATTAAATTATATTTAGATTTTTACTGTTCTAACAAATAGTTATTTGTTGTTTTTTATTATTATTTTTATATTATACATATTATTTAGAATATTCTGTATGTTTGAAATTTTAAAATTCTTTATTATTTCTGGAAACATTATAATGAAAGTGCTACAATTTTATGTGGGTAATCCATAGTTGTATATAAACTTTAATAGCATATACTGCATACATTTTGAAAACAGGACATTTACTGGTATGCAGTTTAGAGGATACTATCTCATACATTAAAATTGTACATTACTGTATACATTTTTTTTATTTTTATTTTTTTTTACTGTTGTTGACAATTCAATCTAGAAATAATTATAAAAAGTAAATGAAACAGAAAAATGGAATATTGAGACAGACCTTTCTGAACTGTGTTACAAAATACAAAATGGCTGCTGATAAACAAAACATTTTTTACCATATTGCTTCACTTTTTATTTTTCAAATAATGTTAATGTGTGAAATAAAATACAGTCGACCCCCCCTATAACATGGTAGATATGTTTTGGTTTTTATGAATCTATTTACTATGAGTCCAGCTAATCACAGCCCAGCACGTATGCAGTTTACGGACTACGGCTGTTTGAAAGGTTTCTTCCATAAAATTAATCGATTCTAGACTAATTTGACTCAACATTTCCAAAATACGTATAATTTTTTGGGAATAATCCATATAAACTATGCTATAAACAAAAAATTGTAGGATTACTTTCCGAGTGTGCACAGTTTGACTAAGCCATTGCTTAAGCTTGTTTTCATTGTGGAGCTTGTCATCGAATGGTGCTCGCATGCTTCCTGATAAATTATTTTTTTTGCGAAAAATTCACTGAACTTTGGAGACATCATTAAATAATAAATGATGTCTCCAAGCAAATTTTTCGCAGAAAAATAACTTATCAGAAAATGCACACATGCCGCTCCGCGACGAAAACAAGCTTAAGCAATGGCTTAAGTCATCGAACGGTGCACACTCGGTAAGTAATCCTACAATTTTTTTTATAGCATAGTTTATATGGATTATTTCCAAAAAAATTATACGTATTTTGGAAATGTTGAGTCGAATTAGTCTAGAATCGATTAATTTTATGGAAGAAAACCTTTCAAACAGCCGTAGTCCGTAAACTGCGTACGTGCCGGGCTGTGATTGGTTCATGTATTCAAGGACTCTTAGAACATCAATTTCATAAAGAACGGAATGTATCTACTGTGTTATAGGGGGTCTACTGTATACATACCAGCAATGTCTTCAAAAAAACTTTATTGAAGTTATTGACAGATCGCAAAGCAGTTGTGAACTTTACAGACTGCACAAAGAAAGAGAAAAAAAACAATTATATAAAAAAACCGGGATTTTTATTTTTAAAACATGGGATGAGATCTTGTGCTCTTCTACGAGTACTATCGTTGAGGAGTTGTAAAACGTGGACATCTAACATTCCCTATTAACTCTGAGCACAATGAATGCATATTTAGAGCACATCTATGGGTTTCTAAATGAGGTCTTGGCAGAGGCTTTGTAAAGATGTCAGCAACCATTTCTTGCATTGGACAATACACAACTTTTGTTATGTTCTTTCTCTGGAGATCTCTGATGTGATGATACTTTGTGTGTACGTGTTTCAGTCTTGTGTTTTTCACTTTGTGAAAGTTTTATTGTTGCTTGATTATCTTCTATAATCTTGATTGACAGATTTTGCTTTAGCTCAAGTTCTTCTGTCAGAAGTAAAACCTACAGAAGTTTTTGCATAGCACTTGCTAAAGAAACATATTCGGCTTCTGTTGAAGACAGAGCTACACAGTTTTGTTTCCTTGATTTCCATGATATGCAATTTTCTCNCCCATTCATGCAACAATGTATCTACTAAGATTTATAATAATAAAAAAAAAATTAAATATTGAAAATGATGTGATGGTGTTTCTATGGCTGTTTATTTTTAAGTTCCAGAATGTAAATGGCTTATGTTGTGACTATAATTGTAAAATTATGTCTTGTGATTCCCTAGTAGAGAGTCTGAGTTGGTGGCAAATCTCATTGATACCAGGTTGATAAAACAAGTCCTTAATGAACAACATGTAAGAAGTATAGAAACCCTGGAAATTTACAAAGCCTCCTTAAAAGAAATTTGCAAGAATCAAAAAGACTGAAACTTTATCTGCTGCCTGGAACTTGTTTTATGAGAACAATCCAAACTCTGCTAGAGGCTCATGAATTATAATTTTACAAATATGAAGTCACAACATAAATCATCACATATCCAAAACTTACAAAATACACAGCCACAGAAAATATGGTTACATCATTTTCAATTTTTAAAAAAATATATTTTTAATCTTAGGCATGTTATCTCATGAGTGGACATTCTAATATAGAGCATTGACATTTAGAATGTTTAACAGACCCGAAGCAGCCATATCAAAGGAGCAAAAAACATTTGTCTGAAAGAAAAATGAAACCATAATTGCACTTAAAGATGTGTTCTTTTTAGTATTTAAACATTTTTCTGGCTTGGAATCTATTGAACCATTTTGTTTTCTTAATTTTTTTAAGGCATTTCATTTAAAATGCTTCAAATTTTTAAATTTCTTTTTTTTAATACCCTTATTTTTGAAGTATAAGCCAGAGTTGGGAGAATTATAGTTTGTAATGTCTTAGTTTTAACTGTTTTGGAATATGGCTGACTGTTCATTGGAGATTATGATATTGTAATTCTGTGCTTTACTGTCTTTAGGGTGTTAATATTACTTGTAAAAAATGTTCTGAGATAATTAGATCTATTGACTTTTTCCTCTCTGTTCATTTTTGAGGCAAAGATTTATTGATTCTTGCTCTCTACCAGTTGTTACTTTAGTTTTGTTAATTTTATTCCATAAGTCTTTGCTATTTGGTTAAATTTAGAAAACTTGCTCATAAAATTATCTTTGGTGTGTGATGATAATACTATGTCATCAACACACTCTAAGTTATTGAGATTGTATCTGTGTATTTTAATTCTTTCCTTTCAATGTCTTCTGCCACAATTACATCTGTGAACAGGTTGAAGAGAGAGAAAATTGACAGCTTTGTACTACTAATATATCTATGTTAAATTTTTTTGTTATTAGGTTGTGATATTTTATTACAGCTGTTGCAAATTTATGATATATGTTTTAGAAAGTTGATAATATCAAGTGGATTTGGTTTTGTACCAAGATTTCAATCAAATGATCTCTACTAACTGAATAAAAAGTTAGCATGAAATGTATGAAGCCTCAAAATGATAATATAGTGTCTTATATTATAGAGTCAATAATGCTCTATAATATTGTGATGATAAGATTGACTGATGCTTGAAACCTGTTTGTTATTCATTTATTATTTTTCTGTAAGTTGTTTAATCTGTTTTGTAGCATTCTTGAAAATATTTTGTACACATAGCTGAAAAGCATTGTAGATCTGT